ATCCACGGCAGTTTTCCATCAACCACCTTCGCTCCGTGAACACCGTACCCCCTTTTCCCTTGTGCCGCCTCCCATCTCCAGGCCTCGTGTTCTCTTCTCTTTTCCGTTGCAGCATCCACGTCTATCAGTCTTCGGATAACATTCGCAACAGGAAGAACAGCCTGAAGATGCAACACTCGGCCTCTGTGACCTGCATTTTGTAAGTGTCAAAGCACCTGGAGGCTGCGCTGAGCATAACAGACCCATCGCGTCTCTATGCCGGACCGGTTTATATTCCGTGTGGTTTAAGGGGAAAAAAAATAAATAAATCTGATTTTGCTACACATGGTAAAGGAACGAATAGAAAAGCACAAAAGACCCAGGAGATTTAGGTGAAGGATGGAGAGTTTAGATGTTTTGAACACGGACAAGCGATCGGGAGTGGAAGTGGGGAAGAGAAGGAAGGAAAAAGGATAGGCTGCTGCATATTTGAATAGTTCCCCTTCCCATAAAACCACGAACAGGCTGAGTCTTGGCTTTCAGGGTCCTTCGTTCGAGGAGGATCTCAAACCAAGACTGGACAACTTATGGGCCGGTATGGTTTGAGGATTCCTAACTTGATTGGACCAGAACAGGGCTCTCCGACCTTGGCCGCTTTAAGCCAGGCGGACTTCCAACTCCCCGCAGAGTTGGCTGGAGAATTCTGGGAGTTGAAGTCCACCTGGCTTAAAAGCAGCTTCCCACCTTCGGAGTCTATGATTCTGACCTCTAAGGTTCCTTCCAGCCCCGGGAGTCTATGCTTCTGTGACCTCCAAAGTCCTTTCCAACCCTACAAGTCTATGATTCTGTGGTCTTCAAAGTCCTTTTCCACCCTAGGTTCCTGTGACCCATAAAGTCACTTCCCTCCCTAACAGTCTATGATACTGTGACCTCCAAGGTTCCTTCTCACTCTTAAGAGTCTATGATTTTGACTTCCAGGGTCCCTTCCAGCCGTAGGAGTCTATGATGATGTGACCTCCAAGGTTCCTCCCAACCCTAGGAGTCTATGATTTTGACTTCCGGGGTCCCTTCCAGCCCTAGGAGTCTATGATAATGTGACCTCCAAGGTTCCTTCCAACCCTAGGAATCTATGTTTCTATGATTCCTAAGATCCCTTCCCACCCTAGGAGTCTATGCTTCTCCAAGGTTCTTTCCAGC